AGCGAGCGGGACCAAGGGGGCCCCTCTGCCCGAGGTTGGCCAGTGATGACCACCAGGGCAGGGCTTCCTTCACTTGGTTCGAAATCGAAACCCGCCTATCTAGTTCCCATAGGAGAGCTCGGCGTTATGACAAGCATTATACCGAGCGGCTGCGTAGTGCGGCCTGGGGAGCTACCCTTCGAACCGAGGTCATCATTCCGATGATCCATTAGTTCTTGGAGGGACACTGAGGGAAAGCTGACTAGGCATTCGGCTAAGCAACACGCTTGAAATAGCTAAGCCAAGCTTACCTCTGTGTCAAAACTCCATGGCCAAGGACACCAACTGCACGTTGGGTCGAGGTGGGACTTGTCGATTTACTAACGAGCCCAACTGGTGAAGTAAATCCTGTGTTAGCCTGACGCGTTTGGCTATTAAGCCCTTTCCCGGGTTGTTGGTAACCAGTAGTCTGGGTACGGATTGAGGTGTACCGACATCTGGTGAAGCAGCAGCACTACCTGTTTCATCATTCTGGTGAACACGTAGGGCAATGCGGGGGGGGGGGACCTCGCTGGGTGCATCGGTATGTGCAGGTAGGCCCGCTTTAGTCTAGTGGGACTAGCCAGTCGAAACGGTGGATGGAGAGAAGAACCCTGAATGGTGTCTCCATGTGGAACCGATCGAGGGGCACGTACTGATTCAGTCTGCCTAGGTCCAGAAATGGACGCCCGCCACTTGTAGATTTGGTACTACGAACACATTTGGGTAGAAGCCTGGACTGAGTTCTGGCTGATGTCCCCTGTGTATGGCGTCTTTTCCCAGCTACTTCCTGTCTGATTGCTTCCGCCTTGCAGGAGTCCCCTGACAGTGCCCAACAGGGGAGACACTGACGGGGGAAATGGAGATTTCAGCAGTATCCCGTAACAGGATGTCACCACCTGGAAAGGTCCAGGGATCAGTCACCTGCTGTCTCCAAACCGGACTACACAGGCGCAATCTGTGTACGAAAGGGATATGCGGCCATGGGTTCGGCAGTTGCGAGGGGGGTGCTCTCATCTCCCATGAGGTGAGTACCCCAAGGCCTGAAGTAGTCACTAAGTTGTGACCTGGCCACTCGCCAAACACATGCCTGTCCCCCGGTTGCAGAGGTGAGCGTCAAACAAGCTTCCCCCGCTGCCGGGGTAGACGTAGCTCTTTCCTCCCTGGGCGTGCGCCACTACTCTTCCCTCCCAACTGGCTAGCAGATTCGATCTGAACCCTCTGGTTCATTGCACTCCGAAGCTCCGAGACTGTACCCACCATTCCCTGAACAAAGAGGGTGGATGATGTCCAGTCTGCGTCATTGAGGTGGGGACGTACCTCCCCCCGACTCGGATTGTCGGTGAAAATATGTGTGTCTAAGGCCGCGTCTCGTAGTACAGTAGTGGCCCCGGCCAAGAGAGCCAGGTGTCACTAGGGGGTGTCGCACGTAGATGTGCGGTGGCCCACCAGTAAAAGTGTCGCCTGGTCTAGGAGGCTGGTGCGTTCTGCCTCCGCTCAAGTAACTCTGCCCTCAGGGCTGGATGGGTCCTCTTCCGATTGGCAAGAATGCCCATGGAACGTGGCTGTCCCCTTTTGCCCGGTTTGCCAAATGGAAATTCGTGGTACCGGGGTCTGGGAAAGGAGCCTTGGGATCCGCTTGGGGGCGTTTTGGTTTCATCCCACGCTATGGGGTCTGATCCCGAAACCACACCGACCGGGTAGCGTTTGGTCCAGCGGGAAGTGTTGCCTAATGTCTTCCCAACCCAGGGGCCTTAAG